AATTTGATTTATACAATATGAAGAAAGGCAGGGTGGTTCATGAACTCTTATGATTTAATTCATTTCTATTCCAAAGTTTTATTCATTGTGTTTTTTTGAAAACACATAATACCTCCTAAAATAATTAATTTAGTTTAACTCAACATCTCCTCTTCCTTTCAACTCTCCTCAAAACTCATATTCTGTGGAACATATACTGTAACAAATAAACTAGATATTTTTTCATGGGGTTGTCCCATGAAAATTGTCCCCAATTGGGGATGTCCCCACTTTTTTAATCTAATTGTCAGATTTGATTCAGAAACATTTTCTCATAAGAATCAAGATTATAGTTGGTCAAAGCTCTAGAGCAGGCAGACAACGTCCATGTTTGAGCTTGTTTTGTTCAGAATACATTTCCTAAGGCGGCAGAAAAAAATTCCTTTTTTTTTTGGTGACTTTGTCATGGTCTGAGGCAAGCACTTCAGCATGAGGGAAATAAAAAAGATTAAGTTATAGAAGAAAGGACCAATTCAAGGTGAGGAGAGTAATTGAACTCTAGGAGTTTGTAAAAATGTAGTGCTATTGGGAATGTGACCTTAACCTTGGCCACCCTTGTGGTTACCATATCCATTGTTCACCGCTACCTGTGTGGATGCCTGCTGGATGTACTTCTCCCAGGCTACAGCTATTGCTTTCAAACACACATACTCTCTCCACTATCCCATTATGGAAGAGAACAATCTCATATCTTTCCCTTACTTGTAGCTCCTAACAACAAGAAATAGCTGTAAAATTATTTTTTTAAAAGCTTGTAATTATATTGTGCTTTACAATGTATAGAATAGTCTATGGTCCATCATTCCCACAGAAAGGGGAGTACTTTTCAGCAAGAAAATTTACTTGTGGATGAGAATATAGTTTTATAAATTAATTGTGTGCTGATAAACTTGCTGTCAGGGAAAGAAAAAAAAAACACAACCTGTTATTTATAGCATTTGACAATTTCCATGCTGCAAACATACTCACTCTGGATGGTTTTATCAGCATATTGTGACTGAATGCAGAACTGGGAAGGGAGGTGTTACAAGCCTGAACTAGCAGGCACTTCACTGGTTTTAATGATATGTGAAAGACAGGAACCCACATGTATTTATTTTTTTGTTTACAGTGCAATTCAGGACCATGTTATTTCAAGAGAAAAGTGGTTAATATACGGGAATTTAACCTTCAGTCTTTAACTTCCCTTTTAGATAAACTTCCCCACAAGTTTATGTTCAAATATGGAAGAACATCTTTATGTTGTTGACTTTTTCATGTAGAAATGACTTTAATACTTGACTGTATTGGCAACATGGATGGATTAGATCTGGAAATAGAATAGTGAGTGAAATTTCAGCCTGAAGATAGAGCAGCGTTTGAGTTAATATGCATTTTGTATACTTAATGTACTCCCCCTAACCCATTTCAGGTCTTTTTGTGAGGAAAATCTAATCATCCATCCAATGTCTTAGAAAGATAGATTTTGATGGATCTGCCTCATCAAAGATAGGCGCAGGACTGTCTTTGACCCACCAACAATTTCCTACCACGAGGGACAAGCCATCTCCTGGAAGATGTTAGATCAATAATTAAACCCAATTGTTTAAGGCTAAGACAACATATGGCTGGTGTGTTTTCTCACTCGGCTCTTTCCTTATGCTTTCAAGTCTTGAAGTCGAGGTGCCAGCACTAGGGTAACAACATTCCCATTAGAGTTAACAACACTCTTCTCTGGAGGGAGACTTCACTTTTCCCTTCAGAAGAGGATGCTGTTTATCTGATGAGAGTGCCTGGCTCAGCCCCTTCCTTCTGGCTGCAGAGGCAGCATGCATGCTCTCTCCATGACCTGTAGGTGTCCAGGAGCAGTCTGACCCCTGCGTGAAACCTGCAACCTGGGAGCCCTGGTCAGCTCAGTGGAGACTGAGCAAGCTCTTATATTTGTACTGTGAAGCCCTCTCCTCCAACATGGTTTTTTTTTTTTTCCCTCCATAACAAAGCTGATCCCTACTCTGCCACTATCTTTCAGTGGTTCTGAACTACAGTTGTCAAGAGATACAAAGCATATCTCAGAGATATTGTGGGTTCTGTTCCAGACAACCCCAATAAAGTGAATATCACAATAAAGTGAGTCAAATGAATTTTTTGGTTTCTCAGTTCATATAGAAATTATGCTTACATTATCATGGTCTATTAAGTGTGCAATGGCATGATGTCTAAAAAAAAACCACAATATACATATCTTAATTTAAAAATGCTTTATTGCCTTAAAAAAAAATGCTAACCTTCATTTGCTCTCAGCAAGTCATAATCTTTTCTCTGGTGGAGGATCCTGCCTCGATGCTCATGGCTGCTGACGGATCAGGGTGGTGGCTGCTGAAGGTTAGGGTGGCTGTGGCAATTTCTTAAAATAAGACAACCAAGTTTGCAACATAGATTGACTCTTTCACAAGCAATTTCTCTGTAGCATGTGATGCTATCTGACAACATTTTACCCACAGTAGAACCTCTTTCAAAATTGGAGTCAATGTGGAGTGCCAGGGTGGCTCAGTCCGTTAAGTGTCTGACTCTTGGTTTTGGCTCAGGTCATGATCTCATGGGCCATGAGACTGAGCCCCCCACCCCCACCCCCAGGGGGCTCCACGCTTACTGGGGAGTCTGCTTGAAGATTCTCTCCCCCTGCTCCTCCTCTCACTCTCACTGTCTCTCTCTCTCTAAATAAATAAATCTTTTAAAAAAATTGGAGTCAATCCTCTCAAACCCTGCCTCTGCTTTATCAACTAAGTTTATGTAATAATATTCTAAATCCTTTGTTGTCATTTCAACAATCTTCACAGCATCTTCGCCAGGAGTGGATTCCATCTTAAGAAATTACTTTTTTTCCTCATCCATCAAAAGCAACTCCTCATCTGTTCAAGTTTTATTTTTTTTAATTTTATTTTATTATGTTATTTTAATCACCATACAGTACATCATTAGTTTTTGATGTCGTGTTCCATGATTCATTGTTTGCATATAACACCCAGTGCTCCATGCAGAACGTGCCCTCCTTAATACCCATCACCAGGCTAACCCATCCCCCCACCCCCTCCCCTCTAGAACCCTCGGTTTGTTTCTCAGAGTCCATAGTCTCTCATGGTTCGTCTCCCCCTCTGATTTCCCCCCTTCATCTGTTCAAGTTTTATCATGAGCTTGCTGCATTTCAGTCCCATCTTCAGTCTCCACTTCTGATTCTTGTTCTCTTGCTGTTCCCACCACATCTGCAGTTTCTTCCTCCACTGACGCCTTAAATCTCCAATTTGTAAAAAAAAGTAGTATCTGCAAAGCACTAAAGAGCAAAGTGCAATAAAAGGAGGTATGTCTGTAACTGATACTCTAACACCCAAACAGTCTACTTTTTATTTCCCTTGTTATAGGGGATTATGTCTCTGTCATTCACTTACTTTGGTTTTAGTGGAGTTTGAAGAGAAAGGAAAAACAATACCTTGTTCATGCTTCAGTGTTCAACCTGCTAATCTTGTCACTGAGAATTTAAATACTTACAGAACAAATACATTCCCTAAAACTAGAATTTGATTAAGCATTGATGAATAACAGCTGATTAAGTTGTCTCTGTAGACTTGTACTTTTTAAAACCTTACTCTATTAACTGCGTGACTCAAATTGTTGTACAGAAATGACTTCATGGTAATCAGAGTAGGCGTTCTTGTTAAATATTCATATATATATATATATATATATATATATATATATATTCATGTATGGACCTTTTTTTTTCAGAGTGCTTTCACACCCTTTAACTCATTGAATTGTCCAAGGATACTGTGAGGTTAATAACAAGTTATAATTATTCTCATTTTACAAATTAAAAAAAAAAACTAAATTGAAGATAAATGAGTCTATGGCTTTTCCAGTTCACATGACTAGTCATTTCCAGAGATGGAGGCATTATCTAGATTTTCTCACTCCCACTTCTGTGTTCTTTCTACTGCATCACTATAGCTTTTAAATAAGGCAAACATCAGAAGTCATGGGTCACTCATACATAGAACTCAGTGAACGTCAGTACATAAGAGTGATGATCCCTTGTGGAAGAGCTGACCTTGAGAGAATGAGACACTCCTCTCAGACACAAAATTTTAGGAGACATCAGAAAACACAGTAATAAAGAAAATAATAATTTAATATTATATATATTTTTAAAGATTTTATTTATTTATTTATTTATTTATTTGAGAGAGAGACAGAGATAGCAACAAAGATAATGACAGAGAGAGCAGGAGCAGAAGGAGGGGCAGAGGGAGAAGCCGACTCCCCACTGAGCAGGGAGCCCGATGTGGGGCTCGATCCCAGGACCCTGGGATCATGACCTGAGCTGAAGGCAGACGCTTAACAGACTGGGCCACCCAGGCACCCCTAATGTTATATTTCTAAAGTCAAAATTAGTGCAAAAAATCAATGATGAATAAAATATAAAAATGTAAATGAAAACAAATCGTGTGTTTGTTTTACGGTTGGCATAATGGTGCAGTGGAAACAGTCCTTTGACTTTGTGTTATTGTGCAACAGGAAAATTTCCAATTAGCCCATGGTCCCCGGACCCAGTAAGGCAGCGTTATGCATGTCAGCCATGATGTACCAACAGGTTAGACAATGTGGGTCTCATGTATGTTGACTGTAGTGCTTATATTATCCTTTCTTACTGGGTTTAAAATATGGGAGGATATTTTGATAAATGTCTAGGGGGCATATATTTTTCCTTTTGCTTTCTGCTATAATGTGTCTCAGCAGGGCAGTGCTTAATGGGTTAATTCTTGGTACATGGAGAACTTTGGAGTTTCTACTTAGATCTGAACAACAAAGAGAAGGAGGATGGAAAAAGGATTAATCTCTAATGTGAGCCCAGCCTCCACCCATGGCTATTCTGATTCCACAGGCCTGGGATCAAAACCAGTCATTTGCATTTTTAACAAGCACGCTGATGATTGCAATGTAGGTGGTGACCCACAGGTCAAGCTCCCTGAGAAGCCAACTCTGCGTCAAGGATTTGCTTGCAGAAAATTTGTTGGAAATTGCTCTCAGGATCAGCTCCTGTGGTGAAAGAACAAGTGAGCAGAAAGGGAAGACGCCCAATGGCTCCAGCCGCCCTCTGAAGCTGCGGAGTGCAATGGTTCTCCAGAGATGTTGGAATCAGTCAGAGGCTGGGACCTTTTTCTCTCCCCGCCACCAAGCAGTCATTCTTTTGAGGCTGTTGTTGAGAAGAATGCCTGACACTGTACAAGCCTAGGAGGTACCTTTCCTGAGAGCAAGGCAACTGAGAGGGGGCTGCATAGAGACCAGCATCCCATTGCCCAGCCAGCACTCAGATGAGGCCACGTGGCAAGTGCTGGCCAATGGACTATGATCACAAGAGATACATTCATGTTTCTTTTTTAAAAAAGATACATTTATTTATTTTAAAGAGAGAAAACATGAGAGAGCAGGAGAGAGAGTGAGAGAGAGAACATGAGAGAGAGAGCAAGTGTGGGGGGTGAGGGGCAGAGGGAGAGAAAGAGAATCTCAAGCAGATTCTGTGCTGAGCACAGAGCCTGATGTGGGGCTTGATCTCATGACCCTGCGATCAGGACCTGAGCTGAAACCAAGAGTTGGGAGCTTAACCAACTGCCCCGAGATGCATTTGCTCTTAAGCTAGATCGTTGAAGAGCAGGCCTGTGATCCTTTATCTGTCTCTTCTGACCCACAAATAGGAAGCTACATATTCAAGAGTGTGTAGCTACAACATTGTTGGATCTCCATCATACCTGGTTCCTGAATTCCTAATCACCTGAGCCAACCTGCAACAGGAAGGTAACATGTCTTCAAAAAAGCTCAGTGGTTTCAAGCTACTGGGAATTCAGTATTATCTAGACTAACCTTATTAAAACAATGGCCAGGGCACCTGGGTGGCTCAGTTGGTTAAGCGACTGCCTTCGGCTCAGGTCGTGATCCTGGAGTCCCGGGATCGAGTCCCGCATCGGGCTCCCTGCTCGGAAGGGAGTCTGCTTCTCCCTCTGACCCTCCTCCCTCTCATGCTCTCTGTCTCTCATTCTCTCTGTCTCAAATAAATAAATAAAATCTTAAAAAAATAAAAATAAAAATATTAAAAATAAATAAATAAAACAATGGCCAGATCTCAGTTATACAGTAAATTGCATTGCCCTGGTATTATCTAGTGTGATATTTATGGTTTGACTGAAACTGTATCTTAAGGCTCTGAGCAAACTCAAATACAAAATTTATTGTAAAATGTACGTAATTTTGAAGAATACATGTATCGCAATAGGGCAACTTCTACTGGTAATTTAGGCTTAATGCAAATGTAATAAGTTTTTCTTGCAGTCAAAAATTTTAAGACATTTTAAGAGTGAGAGATAAACAAATATTGTATGTTGGGTTTTAGGAAAATTTCACTAAGATTCTACTAAAAAAGTAAGAGAACAAATTAAGTAATTTATCTTTTTGATAGAGATTTTCCTCTCTGTACCAGTAATCTTGGGAACACCTGTTCTATAATACACAAAATATAAATTGAGTTAACCAAGCATACTCCTAGTTAGAAAGCAATATGTTAAATTTGTAGCAAAGCCTTAAGCTCAATTAGAGGAAGACTTAAATCTTTTTTTTTTTTTTTTCCTGACAAAACAAAAACTGCTTGGGTAATTTAAGAAAAAAAGAAAAAGGAAAAGGAAATATGAAACCATAAAAGGAAGTTATGTTATAAAAAGAGAGTAAAGATCTTGGCCATAGTAGCCAAATTCCAGCATGTTGATATATTCATTTTGGCAATCATAACATCATTTGGTTACATATGTTAGGTTTAGAGTCTCCTTGCTTATGTTTTCAAGAGCTAGGGAAGGATTTGGAATTGAAACAAATTGAATTAGGATATCCAGTGTAATTGGTATCTTATAAGAATAACAAAATATAAGAAAATAGATTAATATGAACAACATGATAAAATATTACCCATTGTAGAGAGTCACAAATTTATGACTAAATATAAATAAGAATGAGGTAAAACAAAATCAAATTAAATATGGATAATGCAGTGATAGATCCTGGATTAAATGGTAGTCCTCTTCCAAATGAGAAGGTCATTTTACTTCAGATACATCCCAGTTTGTGAGAAGCCTGTGGTGACAACTGGAGGAAGACCAATTCATGTGGTCTAATCACTGTTAACGGTGGGTGGCAGAGGAAGCAAGGAGGAGAGTCCCAAGACCCTTTGATGTGATATGTGGATTCTGGGACTATTTTTCACTAAAAACCAAAAGACAAAGAAAATTGAGTTAGAATAGGAAGGGGAAAACATATTTAATTTTGGACAGAAAGACCAACTTCAAAGTTAGCACCTAGGTAATCAATCTCCTTTTTAAAAAATCATAGAAACTGACAAAGAAGCAGAGACAGCTCAGAAGGCTTACTCATTATAGGGAAAAATTTCTTCTAACTCAATACCAATGTCAGCATCTGACCATTTCAGAAATCAAAATACAGGATTCCAACATACATTTTTAATGATAGAATTCTACCCAGGATCCCCTGTAATTTGAAATAGAGTAGAGGAATTGCTATTATCAATGGCAACTCACCTTTTTAAATGAGAAAACAGGTATCATCATAGCTGCTTTGTTATAGCACACTTGGCAAAGATATGTCATTTATTTTATTTTATTTTATTTTTGAGAGAGAGCATGCATTTTGGGGGGGGCTTACGAGGGGCAGAGGGAGAGAGATAATCCCAAGCAGGTGCCACACTTTGCAGGGCTTGATCTCAGGACGCTGAGATCATGACCTGAGCCAAAACCAAGAGCCAGTCACTTAACAAACTGAGCCACCCAGGTGCCCTAAAGATGTGTCATTTTAAAATATAGTTGACTATGAGAGTATCAGTTGCTAATCCAGCTCTTATCTGATGGTATTATTAGCCAGATCTTCCACTTAGCTTGTACATAGCTTGTACACACACACACACACACACAATATCCACATAAATGAAACTACACGTACATCTAGAAGTATGTGACTCCGTATCTGTAAATGGTATATATTATATGCATGTGTATATATTCCAGATGTCTTATACATAGAAAGATAGATAATAGATCAATCAATTAATAGATGATAGATCTCCCAAATGATCCTAATGTAATCTCAGGTAGAAAGAAATTGTGGGCTCCTATATTCTCCTTTTGTTTTCCCTTTATAAATAAGCTCAAGCCCTTAGGGATTGTGTCTGAGACACCGCAGCCTAATTGTAACTAGTTTTTACCAGGTAATTGCCTGGTAAGTTATTTTCCCTTCCAGGGTATCTATTTTTTAAAACAAAGGGTATCTTTTTCATTTTATGTTCCACACAACCAACAAAGCCCTAAGCACATATGAGGAGAACACAGATTTGAACTGATAGAAGGAAGGGCAAGAGGAAGGAGGATGGGAGTGGGACAGAAGGCTTTCAGAGATCTGCCTGTACCATCCAGGGCCCACAGGATACCCACCTTCACTAGTCCCTAGACTAGCATAAAGCTGAGGATGAGCAACAATACTCTGTGACGTTTCTAATAATTCCAGAATTCTGTTCAGTCTCTCATGACACAGGGAAGGAGAAAGACAACATAATATCAGAGCCAATAATCTCCTCATTGATTAAAAAATAACCTAAGCTATTTAGGAAGAAAAAAAATATATCTCTGCAAGGTTACATCCTTCTGTCACAATCTACATCTCCCTATTTCATACACTAATCTTCCAAATGCTCATCTCTCTTTATTTATAGTTCTCTCCTCACTGTGAGGTTTGTAGAATTGATGGTGTAAATGGATACTGCAAACTCTAAAACAAAGCCTCACATTTTCTAGTTGCCTGTGAGGGGAAAATGTCTTCTATGAATGTGTTCATACTTGCCTTGTTTGAGAATAATCATTTATTGTCCTATTTGGGGGAAAAAAAAAGAAAGAAAGAAAACAGGCCCACAGGTACCAAACCCAGGCAGCAATATGGGTCAGTGTATGTAGAGATGAATTTGATTAAGCCACAGTGGAACCGTAGATTAGATTCAGGAACATCAGACATGGCTGTCATTACAGCTGCCAGCATGGGTGTGCTGATCTGTCAGCAAGGATTGCAGTCAACCTGGGAATGTGGTCTTGCACTTCTTCCAAGCAGCAGAGGGCTGAGCTAAAAACTCTTAGGTCTTTGTTGGCTATGATGATTCTTCCGGGGCCAATGATCAGTAAAACTAATAGAATTATGGAACAGTGGACTTCTGTGTTTTGCCTGTTGCAGAAAAGCTTGTGAAAATTGGATTTCTTTGCATGTAATTAAACTATTTGATGCTGTGACCAGTGTAGTTACAGAAGATATGCTCACCTGCTTGAAAATTCAGTTTCTCACCAAATATTGGCTGATTATTTGCACAAGTAATTTTGCCAGTGATTCTAAGGGATACATAAATAAAGCACATATGTGAATTGTATTGTCTTCAAGCTTATGATATATAGCCATAAAAAATTATAGTATATTTCTAAATAATATACACAGACATAGATACCAATCATAATGAAAGTTAGATCTATGTACTATAATGAGTCCGGATTAAGGCACATGGGAATTCGAACAAGGATTCTATAGTTTTCAGTTTAGAAATATAAATTAAAGTTTGTGGTAAATATGAAATTTGAATTAGAGAGAGAGAAGAGTGTGCATTACAGTTTAAGAAAAAAAGGCATTTTTGACAAAGAGAACAGCAGGAGAAAAAGCACACAGAAAAATTTCACTTTTGATTCGAAATAACTTATAGTTCAGTATGACTAGCGTCTGTGCTTAATATAATGACAAATGATGAGAAAACCACTTATATAGGTTGTTGAGTTCAGAGCATCATTCTATAGGCAACAGGGAGACATTAAATAATTTGAACAAGAAAGTGATCTTCGGGAAGTCAATCGGCAGCCAAACATGGACATCATTCTATAGGCAATGGGGAGACACTAAATAATTTGAACAAGAGAGTGATCTTCAGGAAGTCAGTCAGCAGCCAGCTCTGGGAAAGAATGCTCAGAACAGGGAACAATGAGAGATGGACGGAACAGTAGGGAGGATACTGTAGCTCCCTGGGGTTTCTGGAAGGAAGCAGGGAGAGTTGTGGGCAGATGAATGAGAGGCATTTTGGATGTAGAACAAATGATATCCTGCAAGTGAACATAGGTGGAACCAAAATAGAAAACAGTCAAAATGATAACAAACAAACAACTAAACCGTGGTCCAAACGGTATGTTTTCAGAAGAGATAGATTCTGTCCAAAGAAGTGGGATGTTCCTGAGAGATAAAAGAGATCCATTATGCCACTGAAAAACTCAATGCAAGGGTTGCATTTGATTTTTTTTTAATTAATTACTGCGTTTGATGAAGGAATTAAGAGTCCTGTTTGCAACATTGTTGTCATTGGTTTTCTGCCATTGGAAAATAAGCATCATTTTTTTTTAAAGATTTTACTTATTTATTTGACACAGAGAGAGAGATAGTGAGAGAGAGAGAGCACAAGCAGGGGGAGTGGCAGGCAGAAGGAGAGGGAGAAGCAGGCTCCCCGCTGAGCAAGGAGCCAGATGCAGGGCTCGATTCCAGGATCCGGGATCATGACCTGAGCCAAAGGCAGACGCTTAACAGACTGAGCCACCGAGGCCCCCCGGAAAATAGGTATCATTTTGTATGAATTTCCTTAAGATTGGATGGAGTAAGTAGGGGGAGAGAAAATGTGATTTTCTTCTGCATGTAGAAATTCCAAACTTTAAAATGTAACAAAAGTACTCCTGGACAAATACACCAGCCAGTTTCATTAGTTTTGTGGTTCATGTTTGGGTCTATCTATTCGGTTGCATAGCAGTGGTGAAGATTGAATTTGAGCAAAGTGAGAGCTGATCTTTGGAAAACATGCAGAATTATCATCTAGACTTTGCTTATCTATGATTCCTTTACTCCCATATATTGGTGTCAGCTGCCCCCCAGTAACCTGTGCTCTCATGCAGGCTTCACCCTCCCAGGTCCCTTCCCTACAGGATGCTCATAGGCTGTGTTTCCCTGGAAGCACCTAATACTCCAGACTCTTCCTAAGTTGTACATCTCCACCGTGTGTCTATTGCTCTTCCAGGCTTCCTGGGCCTGGCTTTCTGTGATGTAGGAGCTAGTTACAAGGAAGCCAATCAACTCTAACCACTTACTGATTTAAAAAAAGAGAGCTTGAAAGAATATATCCTAAAATCTTGAGACCAGTTATTGCTGGATGTGAGAAAGGAGGGTGTGGAATATACGATGTGTGTGTGTGTGCACGCATGTGCACTGTGGGAGTTACAGGAAAATTTAAAGGAATAACCCTCAAAAATAAGCTATTTTAAGAACATGCAAAAGCAACTTAAGAAACATAGGAAGGGGACTGGGGCAATATTGGTGGAGCATGATGGATAAATCCACAGACTTTAGCTTCCACAATCGGGGAACCCTGTTCTAGATCCTACTGATTTTGTCGAAGTATAGCAAGTTACTTAAACTGAATAGTTCTGTTTCCTCATCTGAAAATAAGTAAGATAAATAGCACTAATTCACAATTTCATTTGAGAGGATGATTAAATTGGTAATACACACTTATCTCTTAAAGACACTGGCTGGTACATGTTCAGTACTCAGCCAGTAGCTTTTATCTTTATTATCATGGTGGATTGCTTTGATATTCCTTTTGCATTCTCCCCTTCCTTCTCCTTCTTCTCTTCTTTGTCTCATTGTGAAGGATTAGTTTTGAGTAGTTTGCTCTCACAAATTCTCCCCTGTGCCAAATGGCAGTGAGATAGTCAGAACCGTCCCAGTCTTCTGGTAAAATTTTCCACCATAGAATAGAACAAAGCTAATTGGTTCCTATGGGACTTCCTTTCCACAACTAAATTATCTGCCCGAGTATTGTGATGTTTGTTTTTCTTTAGAAAATAATTCATTATACATGTTCATTTGAAATAGCCAAGCTATAAAAATATGTTTTATACAATTTATGTTTTAAAATCACATTAGTTTACATTTAACCTTGTCATCCGCCAGTACTTTTCTATGGGCATACCCAATATGCATACATTTATAATATTGTGGATAAAATTTTCCACTCTACAGTTAACCTAAATACCATGCCATGGATACTTTATCCATTTTTCTATATGTTAGATGCTGTGGGAACTACAAGAGAAGCCTAAAATCTGTCCTTCCTTCCTTTCAACTGCCCCATCACCACCTGCTTCTCTATTTACAGCTGCCCTGCTTCCTGCCAAGCATCCAATCAATTTCAAAAACCTGTTCTTTATGGCCTTCCTCATTTTTTCCAATATACGTTCAAACTCATAAACAAATGAACTGGCTTGTATGTAAGGCCGTTTTTTTTGTCACTGTTTTATAACTGGGAGAGTATACGGTCTATACAATTTGCTACCTCTCCTTTTTCCCTGGGTCAGCTGGATGGTTCTAATGCTTTGTTTGTAATGATTGATTAATTTCCCATTGTCTGAATGGACCACATGTATTCAACAGACTTATTAATGGACCCTTACCATTTAAAATTTTTTACCTGTACAAATAATGCTGTGATAGACATTCTTATAATTACTATCCACATGTCCTGGACGTCTGTTTCTAGGAGAAGTAGAATCTGGATAAAATAAAATGATTGCTTCAGGAAAAAGGTATTTGAACTTAAAAGTTTTATGGAAAAATATTTTGGATGACCTGGTTGGTAGATGCACAGATTAAAAGAGGAGACCTTTATAAGGTAAGTGGTGGTCAGTTTCAGGAGCAGAAATGTGAGCAGAGGCAGAGAGAGAGGTGGACCCTTACGCTATTCTAGCTTGGTCACAACTGTGGCAATTGTATATTTAAGGTATGACTTATAGCTCATGAGAGCAGGAGTAAGTGAAAAACACAAACAGATTTAATGGGTTTATATACGGATTGTTTTGAATAGAAAAATAAGGAATTTGGACCTTCTGTTGCTGCAAAAGGGAAATGAAACATATGATGTGATTTTTGTTTTATAAGATGAGGCTATCATTTGAACAAACATTTCCCAAAAAAGAAACCCAACTAAATGCTCTTACCAATTGTCAAAGAAATGCACAGCACACCATAAACATAGTTTCTGTTTCTCATGATAAGACATTGTAAAGGTATAGGAAAGTAATGAATTTCATGCCGTTAGAAAATGAGTCGCTGTCTTTCTGTGATGCAGGTTAGCAATTTATCCCAATAGCATGAAAATTTCACAGACTCTTTCAGCCATTAATTCCCCTGCTAGGAATGTGTCTTAATTAAATAATGACAGCTCTATGTAAAGATTTAGCTCTAAGTTGTCTAATTGTCACTTTTTTTAATAATAAAAAATAGGAGCAAACACAACATTTCAAAATGGTGAAGTGGTAAAATAAATTATGGTATATTCAAGTAATGGAATATTAGGCAGTCATTCAAATAGTATTATAGAAGATTCAATTGTATAAAATAAATATACTGTAAAGTGGAAAATGAGTTCCCCTAAGTTTTAGCATTAACATTTAAAATATAAACCTACATAAAATAAATAAATATATATAGGAAATATACATATGCATCTGTACTTATACACATGTATGTATGTGTGTATATATGTTTACCTCTATATATTATATATACATATATACATGTATACATTATATGTATATGATATTTGTAGAGAAAAACTTGGAAACATATACATCAAATTAACTTCTTTCTCCTTTTATTTTATGATTCTTTATAATTAAGGTATATTACTTTCAAAATCATATAGAACCAATGACTACTAACTATAAATGCATTTTTAAATGTAGAAATACAAATACCACCCTGTCCACAGTGAAAACTTGTATTGGGAAGTAACTCAAGTTGAGGGACCATTTAGTACACTCTCCACATGATAAATACTGATAGCCTGAATTAAGTCCCATTAGGGGAGTTAAAAAGGAGAAGGTAGTAAAAGGTATGGTAAGACAGTGCCGTAAAAATAAGTTTAATTTAAAATTAGTAATAATATTGCTGGTGACAGGATGAGAGCTACACTTGCGGGGAGCATGGCATAGTGTATTGAGTTGCTGAATCACTAATGTAACATTGTGTGTCAAGTATACTCAACTATACTCAAACAAAAAATTAAAAAAATAAAATAACATAAAATTATCAGCTTGCGAATTGAGAAAAATCAAAATTGCTTTAAGTTGTAGGACACTGGGAATAAAGACTTTTCCATCCAGTTTTGTCGGAATATCATATTCTGTGACTCCTACACCTCAGCTCAATTTTGGTCTCTACACTTGTATTTTCATTTTGGTTAAATGGTAGCCTTTGCACTGGGTATTATATGCAAACAATGAATCATGGAACCCTACATCAAAAACTA